GAGATAGGGAGTGACAGAACACAGATTGAGAGATGCCTGATAACAAATCGGGCGACGGAACCATGTGCAGATGTGGGCGCCGCAAGGCAGGTGCAAAGGAGGAGCAGGCGCAAGGGAGGAGGATGGGACCACGACTGGCCATCGCTCGGACGTCCATTCCCTAAGTTGTTTCCGGTCTCGTGCGTGGATTTTTTGCCAAATGATCAAGGCTGCTCCTCGATGGTCCCCGCCGAAGGAAAAATGCACACGTCCGAGCGATGCCAAGACGAAACGTGCAAAGGGGTGTGCCGAAATGGGCCGGGCGGCACGCGGACCCCGTCGCTGAGGCCTTCGGCGGAGCTCCCTATGGAACCACGAAGCGTGGTGAGGGGTGTGCCGAAGTGGGCGGGCGGGCATGCGGGACCCTGCCACTGGGGAGTTCGGTCGAGCTCTCTGCGGGGCCAGGAAACACATGTGAGGGGCCAAATCGCTGGGGCAGGGTTGGGGGGAGGGGGAGCGTGGAGGAGCCGGGGGGGGGAGTGGAAATGTGGGACTACTTTGAAGCTTGTATTTCTCTTCTTTGTTTTTGTTTTCTCTCTCTCTCTCTCGTTCTCTCTTTCTCCTTCTCTCTCTCTCTTTCTCTCTTTCTCTGTTTCTCTCTTTCTCCTACTCTCTCTCTCTCTCTCTCTAACTCTCTCTCTCTCTCTCTCTTTCTGGATGGGCCCATCTCTCATAGAATCCTACGAAAGGTGGGCCAACCTCTAACGGATTCCGATCGACGGTCTAGCCACCCGTCTTAAAAACTTGTAAGAAGAACGCATTCACCCGTGAAGGCAGCCGATCGCCGGTGGATCCACCTCGACCAGGGTCCTGTTAAGGATGGAACTGCCTGTAAGTTTGATCAACTTTTTTTTAATAGAATCCTAATAAAAGCGGAGCCACCTCAAATATAACCTCATCAAGGATGGAGCCACCTCCAATAAGACCATGTGAGATGCGGATCCCGTCCCAATGGAATATTAATAGGTAGGGGGCCACCGCTAATAGAGCCCGATCAAGACTTAACCCACCTCGAACAAAATTCGATTTAAAATGGATTCGGTAGACCTTTAACAGAATCTTTGAGGTGGAGCGACCTCAATCAGAATCCGACCAAAGATGGGGCCCACCTGAAGGATGGAGCCACCTCCGATTGAGTCCTATTGGGGGTGGGGCAACCTCTTATAGCATCCGCTTAAGGATGGAACCACCTCCGATAGAATACCACTGGCGATGTTGCACCTTCTAACGCAACTCTTTTAAGGTTTGAGCAACCTCTAACAGCGTCCTGATATGGACAGGCCCACCTTATTAATATAGCCGTGATTGGTCTGACACCATCTCGAATGAAGTTCTATCAGGGATAAAGTCCCTTGAAGATACGTTCATGTCAAGAACGGCCTCACCTCTCACAGGGTCCTAGCATGGTTGGATCCACCTGCACTAGAACCAGATCAGGGATGGGACACCTGTAATGTAATCCAAGTCGGGAAGACCCATCTCTCCTATAATCATCAGAGAGGTCGATCCGCCTGTAGCAGAATCCGGTCCATGATGGAACAACCCTGAAAGAAAATAAAACCAATGAACAATTCTACATGTATTATAATCCTATCACCGGCGGGCCCACCTCTAGAAATAGTATGGTTAAGGGCTGGGCCGCGCGTACAAACAAGCATTCATTAAATGTGGGTCCGCCTCTACTGGGATCCCATTAGAAGTGGACCCACCCCCAATAGAAACCGATTAAGGATGAAACCGACTGGAGTATAGTCCGGTTGGACAAGGATCCACCTCCATTTGAATCCTATTGGAAATTGAATCACCTCTCGGGGGATCCACGATCCCTTGAGCCACCTGCGACTAGCCACTGCGAAGCCGCGCAAGGCCTTGCTGGCTCTTGCTAAGCCCTGCTAGGCCTAGCCGAGACCTGCTAAGCACTGCTATGCACTGCGGCCCTCTGCTAAGCCCTTATTAATTATGCAAGCAACCTGCGAGGCCCAGCTGGGCCTTGGTAGGCCCGACAAAGCCCCGCTAGCCCCTGATATACCCTGCTGAGCTCTGCCAAACGTTGCTAACACCTGCTGGCCTTGTTGGGCTTTGCTTGCACCTTGACAACCTGCAAACCCATGCAATGCCTGCTAAGCCATGCGGGGTCACACCTAATATAAGATCATCCAGGATGAGCACATTGCTCATGTAACCCTTTAAAGATGGACCTACCTTTCACCGAACCCTTTTAAAGATGAAGCAATATGTCATACAATCCGATCAAAGACAGATTCAGCTCTAATAGATTCCCGTGGGAAGTGGATATACCTCTACTGGGGTCCTGTTATGGACGGGGTCACGGGCAATCGATTCGCACCCGATGTGGATTCACCTCTAGTAGTATTGCAATAGAGTTGGATCCTCTTCTAAGACAAAGTCCATGGCGGATGGAAGCACCTGCAGTATAATCGTACTAGATGTGGATCGACCTCTATTTGAATCCCATGGGGACTGGAGCCACCTCTCATATAATCATTCATAACCCCGGCCGCGCCCCTGCTAGTCGCTGCTCCGCCTTGCCCCGCTGAGCCTTGCTAGCCCCTGCGATGCCGTGGTAAGCCCTGCTGCCCCCTTGCTTAGCCTTGCTAGGTCTAGCCAAGCCCTGCCAATCACTGCGCGGCGCTGCTAAGCCCTGCTGGCCCTGTGCTAAGCCTTGGTAAGTTCTGCGAACCATCTGCCAAGCCCACCGAAGCCCTGCTAGCCTTGCTGAGCTCTGCCAGCACCTTGGCAACCTGCTAAGCCATGCGATGCCTGCGACGCCATGCGGAGCCATATCAAATTTTATAATACCAGGGGTGGGGATGCTGTTAATGGGGTCCTATTGGAGGTTGTGGACTCACCTCTAACAGAATGCTTTTAATGATAAAGCAATGTGCTAATAAAACCCGATCGAAGAAAGACGCGGCTCTAATAAAATCCCAGGACAGGTGGATCCACCTCGGATGGGATCCTGTTATGGACGGGGCAGCGGGCAATCGACTTGCATCTTGTGTGGATTTACCTCTAACGGCATCCCAATAGAGGCGGATCCCCCTCCAAAACAACTCCATGAACGATGGAAACACCTGGAATCTAGTTGTATTAGATGCGGACAAACTTCAAACTAAATCAGGTTAGATGGAGCCACCTCTAAACTAATCCCACTAGGGGTGGATCCACTGCTCGCGGGATTCGATTAGATATGGGTGCGGTCTACCACTGAACGATCGGATTAAAGGCCAAGCCGCCCGTAATGTAATCCTTAAAGGGATGGAGATGTTTCCACACAGTAGTATTCAATTTGTAAAACACCCAGGGAAAGAACTCGATTGGAAAGTCTCACCAAAGGGGTTTTATCCGGAATTCACGCAATAGAAATCAATGTATAAATCTCCACAAAAAGGGAATCCGATTGGAAAGTTGCACAAAGGAGTTGTGTGTGTAACCGGCGCAATAAAAATCTAAGTGCGCAAATTGCCAACAAAAAGAATCCGACCGAAAACACGCACACAAAGGCCTCTATTTGCAATCCACACGAAAGAAAAAGTAGGCAAATCGCCCACAAAAAAAAAACCTATTGTAAAATCACACAAAAGAATTCTCGTTGTGATCCACACAATAGACATCGAAACTGTAAATTGCCAACGAAAAGAATCCTATTGAAAAGCTTCACAAAAGGGTTCTATTTGCAGTCCAACCAATAGAAGTTAATACGTAAATCGCCCAAGTCCTATAGAAAAAACGCACAAAAAGATTTCACGTGTAATCCACACAATAGAAAACATGTCGCAAATCGCCCACATAAAGATGTCCTTTGAAAGGGAACTAGAAAAAGTCTTGGACCCTCCGGGAAAAAAAACAAAAACAGTCACCCCCTCATGTTTTTTCAAGGGCGGGGCGGGCGCGGGAAAAAAAGCGGGAGAGGCGACGCTCCTTCTTTTGTTGTGTTTGTTTTGTTTTTTCTGGAGGGTCCAGACCTTGTTCTAGCTACCGTTCAAAACAAACCATTTTTGTATGCGATGTCCACAGTGATTTCCATTGCGTATATTACAACATCATTTGAACTGTTTTCAATACGATTCATTGTGTGCGCGATTTACAAGTAGATTTCTAGCGTAAAGTACAACAGATAATGCCTTGGTGCGAATTTGCATTCGGAGTCCTTTCGGGAGCGATTTGCAACATGCTTTGCATTGTGTGGATTGCAAATCGAATCCTTTGATGCGGCTTTTCAAAGGATTGTATTGCAGGGCTAGGTGACGACGAAGAGGATGAGATAGAGAAAATCACATGACCGAGACAAGGAACACAAACCGAACAATCGAACGAATACCAAAATCAACATACACCACGAAAATTGTTCCCAAATAGTCCCAGATTTCCCCATTACGGGGGGTGGGGGAGGGACGGGGAGAATGGATCATGGAGGGGGAGCGGGGAGGGGGGGCGCAGAGGTGGGGGGGGGAGCGCGGAGGAGGAGCGAGGAGCGACGAGAGGGGTGCGGGAGGAGGCGGGCAGAGACGCGGGCGGGGCGCTGCGGATTCAGCACTACTGGGGTGGCCAAACAAAAAAAACGATACCGCGATTGGGGTCGCTTCGTGTGGGGGGGGATAAGCGGTGGGGAAGAGAAATCTATGTCTCGGGCCCTGGAGGCCCCCGTTTAGGCCCTACAGGGCCTCTTCAGGGGCCGTGAAGGGCCCCTTTTCTGCATCCCTCGCTGCCCCCACACACTTATCATCGCCCCCCATTGCGCGACGCCCAAAACTGCTGCTCGGACCTCCCCCGGGCGCGTTCTGACCAGAGTTTCGATCGGTACCAACGCCCTCCCCCCCGCTGAACTACAGCACGGCTGGGGAAAAACTGTGGCCGCAGCCCCGCCCTCGCTGCGGAGGGCATCCCGCAGGCACAAGAGGAGACCCCCCTGAACCCATCGCCCTCCCCGAGAGGGCGGCCTTGTGCTCGGCGTCGGCAGCCGCCTCCTTCTCGAGCTTGTCGATCCTCGCGGAGGCGAGCCCGCAGCCGCGAGGGGAAGAGGGGCACGCGCAGGCGATCGGCGCGCTTGAGCCATGCCCTCTGCTCACGCCCCAGCCCCGCGAGAGCCGAGGACGGCGGTACGGGTAGGTGCCAGGCCTCTGAAGCCAAGACTGTTGCCCGTGCAGGGGTGCGGATCGAACGTCGATCGCAGAAGGAGAGGGAGCGAGGGAACGCAGGAGAGAGGACAAAGAAGAGATCTGTGCAGAGAGAGGCCCAGCGAGTGACAGAGAGAGAAAGATGTGGAGGGGTTCAGGGGGAAAAGGCAAACAACCAAGTGGACGAGGCGCCACGTGCGTACGCGTGCATAGTCGCATAACGCATGCGCCCAGCTTCGCGCGTAGGGGGGAAACCAAGAACGGGGGCTGGGAATGGCAGAGGCACGATACAGTGCGAACGCGGCCGCAAGAAACCCTCGCACGAAGCCGAAGCCTGAAAATTCGCGCGCGAGATGCAACTGGGGGGAAACCCAGAGCACCCTGAATGCAGCAGATTCGCAACGCACGCGGGAGGTCACCGCGCGGCGCGCGAAGTGAAGAAACCCGAAGTACCATAGAGAAAAACACCAGGTTGTTTGATGCGCGTCCCCACAAACATGCAACCATCATGTTCGACCTGCGTCAGCTAAAACAGCGGCCGCACAACCAGCACATCGATCCGAAGCTGCCGGCGGCCCAGCTCGCGCGGCGCCCACACGGGGGCGACGGCAGGCGGGGGCGGGACCAGCAGCAGCGCGGGTACAGGAACGACATGGTGTCTCGGGAACGGCACGAGGGCTCCGGATCCAACGCTTCGGGCCTCAGGACTGGCGCCGTGCTTACTGCATCACACTTTTTGATCCGCGGGTCGAGAGCGCACCTCTTCCAGTCGAAGCTAAGCGGGCCGCGCGAAGCTTGAATTAGGCAGAGAAGAGGAGGGAGGAAGCGACGAAGCCTCAGAGCGAGGCCGAGAGGAGGCATAGCCTCGGGTACAGGCGGTGCCGAAGCCGAAGTTCTCTTTCACTGCATCACACGCCGCATTGCAGCATCGAGCAGATCCCCCCAGGCGTGGGCGGCGGGTGGCTGGGCTGGCAGCGTGGTGGCTGGTGCTCGGCGCGCAAGGGGCACGAAGAGCACCGTGCCAGTAGGAGAGCAGCGATGAACGTGCGCAGCGCCCTGCCTCCGAGGAGCCCCTGGCACGGTGGACGCTGTCACACGTCCTGCGCAGCCCCGTCGCGAGCAAACAGAGGCAGAACACTTTTTTGATCCGCGGGTCGAGAGCGCACCTCTTCCGGTCGAAGCTAAGCGGGCCGCGCGAAGCTTGAATTAGGCGGAAAAGAGGAGGGAGGAAGCGGCGGAGCCTCAGAGCGAGGCCGAGAGGAGGCATAGCCTCGGGTACAGGCGAGCAGCGATAAACATGCGCAGCGCCCTGCCTCTGAGGAGCCCCTGGCACGATGGACGCTGTCACACGTCCTGCGCAGCCCCGTCGCGAACAAACAGAGGCAGAACACGTGAACTACGGCACGCAAGTGTCGCGGCTGCATCTGGCTCCGACGACGGCAATGGCCATCAAGATGCTGGTGCTCCGCAGATGGCACGCAACATCATGGCATGACGATGGCAATGTGATGTTTAGTCTGGCAGCTTCCAAGAATCAGAAGGCCAAGCAGTTTAGGCTTGCAGGCAGCTTGACGCCAGGGGAGGGGAATGGGGAATCGGGGGGAGGAAGGAAGGGGATGAGACGAAAGACTGACTGGAAGAAGGGAGTGAGGAGAAGGGCGAGGAGATCAGGAGGGCAGGGATGGAAGGGGGGAATGGGGATAGGGGAGAGAAAGGGGGGCGCGCAGGGCCAGAAGCTCCCTATCCAGGAAGGGAGCGTGGGCAGTGGACAGGGATGTGAGCGGACGAGCCAGACAGGGGTACCATCGGAAGGACGTCCGCGGGTGATCTGGAGTAGCAGACTGGCTACACCATGGCAATGGAGACCCTCAGGGCTGGGGCCAGAGAGAGCTTGAAACGACTGGCAGAGGAGCGCCAGGGGGTTGAAAGGCTGGAAGATCAAGCGTCAGGGCTGGCAACAGATCGAAGGGTCAGCCCTGACTAAGTGTTCTCGCCTCCCTGTGTACAGTCGAGGCGTTGACCTAAGGAACCCTAAATAAGGAACGAGGCCCCTTTGTTCATAAGTTACCTTCGACTTCCCATCGAAAGCTTAAGGAAAACCTTGGGCAAGGTGTGGAACCATTAAGGAACACCGAGCCCCTCCCCAACGAAAAGGGTTCCTTCTTCAGCGCCCCGACTGTACAGCTGACACTGCTGGGCACTGAGGGGGGGACATCTCGGCGCACTCTCCAGGCCACAGCGAGGGGTCATGTCAGCGATGAGCCCCTTGATCTTGGCCTCGGCCGCGTGCTTGCGGCGACGGGGGGGTCTCGAGACCGTGCGCGAAGAAACCACGACTTCCTGTCGCCCCCCTTCCGCTGCTCCGCTGAATCCTCATCGTCACCATCCTCATTCCCGAAAGCCAAGCTACTACGACAAGAACGTAACATGAAGAACGAGGCGCCGTTCTGCCCCAAAAAGCGAATGGGTGCACGAGGTGCGTCGGGGGAATAACCATGGAGGTACCTGAGGAACCGCGCGCCCCTTCCGAACCCGAACTGCTCCTCATTTCAGCGTGTTGGCTGTACCTGTCCGAGTCGCTCCCCCTCCCCCATACCCTCGGTGTTTGCACCCGCCTGCGGCCGTCGTGATGCCGCCTGCGGGGGTCCAACCTGAGGTGGCATAGGGTCATGATGTGAAGAGCATTCGGTGCTTTGCAGATTGGCACATCTTTCGTCTACGGCTGCCGCCGCTTCTGTCCCCGCAAGAGGCTATCCGAACACCAACGCCGGAGCGCCAAATCTTGTGGCGCTGCTTCCGCAGCTGCAGCTGTGAGACTGGAGAAGCACTCGATGCCCCGACCATATAATCGTATGCGGTGACTTTGTCGCCGCGTGTTGGCGGTCGTATGCGCAAGTTGGGACTTGCCGCATCACACACATCGGATCAACGCGAGCGATCATGCTAACTTCTGGATCTGCAGCCGATGCGGCGCAACGGCTACGGTTCGACGTGGCGATCACTATGTGTGAATATGTTTGTCAAGCGCTGTCCGCGATGAGTGTTCGGGCATGAGCGAGTGTAAGTGTGAGAGAGGCTGGGAATGGGCGGCTGAGTATGAGTGAGTCGGAATGTGAATGAGTCTGAGTACGAGTGGACAAGAATGAGCTTGTTCATCTGAACATCCTCACATTGAATCAGCCACCACTGGTAAGTAGGGAACGCGGCACACGCCGACCTTCCATTGGCAAACCTCCCAGTGGCCTAGCGACGAAACGAACATGAAGGGGGAGGGACGAGGCGGGGAAGAGGATGAAGCACAAAGGCGAAGTCGTGGAGAATTGGCGAAGGCGTTATGTGAGCACCCTCTTTGGCCCAATCGACAGGTAATCGAAGAAAGCGCCTCGCAACGCCAGGCAATGTGGAAAACGCAAAGCACAGGGTGAGTGAAGCCCGCGCCGCTTAACGCAGATTGTAGGACATATATTCTATATGTGTGACCACATATGAGTGAATCTCAATGTGAACCAGTTCGGGTACGAGTAGGTCTGAGTATACACGAGTCTGAGACATGAGTGGGGATCTGAGTTAAGCGGCCATGGGTGTGGGCGTTTCTGGACGAGTGGGCATAATCATAAGTGGATCTGAGTGTAAGCGACTCAGCATGGAGAGCTGAATGCGAGCGAGGCTGCTCAGGAGTGGGTCCAAGTGCGAGTTGGTATCAACATGCATGTGTCTACGATTCTGGCTATGAGTGAGTCTGGGTATCAGTGGGTCGGACCATGATTGGGTATGAAAATAAGGTGGTATGGTTGTAAGTGAGTCTGGATATGAGTCGGCAGCAGTGAACGAGTGGTTCTGAATGCGTGGATGTGGTGACCGGGCATGGGTCGGACGAAATGGGTGGATCTTAACGAATACGCGTGAGTCAGAGAATGCGCGAGTCTGAAAATGAGCGAGACTGGACGTGACTGAGATGTCGTATGAGTGGATCTAAGTATCAGCCGGTCAGTACGATTAAGTCTAGGTGGAAGTGAGTGCCTCCTGGGCCAGGGCATCCTTCATCCTCCTGGGACCTGCCCTGGGACTTCCTCAGGGTTCCTCAAGTTGAGTGGAGCTCATGGAAACTTCCTGTGGCACCTACTACATCATCACCAGCTTCACCATCAACATCACCATAATCATCGCCATCACCATCAACACCGCCATGACCACCACCATAATCAACATCGTCATCGTCATTAGCGTAGTCGACATAATCCTCGGCATCATCATCATCAGAATCATGATCTGCACAATCGTCATCATCAGCCGCATCATCATCGTCAGCAGCATCGTCATTATGATCATCATGATAATTATGATCATCATCATCTGCATCATCAGTATCATCAGCATTATCATCAGCATCATCATCGTCATCATCATCGACATCGTCATCGTCATCGTCATCGTCATCATCGTCATCGTCATCGTCATCAGCACCAAAAGCAGCATCAACAGCAGCAGCAACATCATCATCATCATCATGCTCATCATCATCATCATCATCATCATCATCATCATCATCATCATCATCATCATCATCATCATCATCATCATCGCCATCACCCTCGTCAACATCATCGTCCTCACCATCCTCCTCATCATCAACATCATCAGCATCATCATCACCGTCGTCATCATCATAAGAACCAAACTGATCATCATAAGTATCATCATCGTCAGCATCACCATCATCATCGTCATCATCAGCATCACCAACATCAACATCATCACTATCATCATCAGCCTCATCATCATTACCCTGATTATCGTCATCAAGAGCACCATCGTCACCAGCCTCACCGTCATCATCATCGTCGTCGTCACCATCATGATCGTTGTCATCATTCCAATCATCATCATCAGCAGCATCATCATCAGTATCTTCATCATCAGCATCACCACACCACCATCACAATCGTCCTCCTGCTCCTCACCCTAACCCTCACCCTCATCGTCATCATCGTCCGCATCATCATGTTCCTCGTGCTCCTCCCCGTCATCATCCTACGACCCCTGCTGATGTGCGTGTGTGCGCCGAGGCCGCGGCGAAGGGGTCCGCACTGACCCGGGCTGCGGAGGCCATCTGCATGGCGAGCTGGGCCAGCGCCGTGGAGTTCTGCTTCTGCGCCAGGCCTGCCGCTCTGCCGCCGTCGGTCGCGAGGGGCCGAAGCCGAGAGGGGGGGGGAGAGACGCCTGTGAGCGCCTGCTGCTCCCCTCTCTGCCGTCGGCAACTACACGTTATGAATGCTATCATTCTCTCTTTCCTGACTCCGTCCGAAGGTGGCCGGTTCCCTCCTTGTGGTCTTCTTTGAACACTGAATTGGGCCAAGGTTGTCTTTCCTACTGTGGTTTAACATCCGATTGAGCTCGGTGTGTCAAGATGGTGTTCCCGCCGCAGCGCGGGTCTCATTTTCGGATCGGCGCTTTGCTCCCGTCGTTCAGACTGGCGCTCTTGTCCCAGCGTGGACCACTACTCTGGGACCCGTGTTTCCTCCTCCGCCTTCCCCTGGTTATCCTGCTTCTCCCGCTCCTTCCACTCCAGTTTCTGCTGCTGCTGTTCGTCCTCGTCCTCGACCTTCCGCATCCTCCTCCTAGTCCTCCTGCTCTGCTCACCTTCCTGTTCACCTAACATCTCCCCTTCCTATGTTCGCAGCTCCCCTTTTCCGACTGCGCATGTTGAGATGGGGTCTTGTTGCTGGAGTTCCAAGTTGGCGATGACACGTGTCCGCTGATAGATAAAATATCAGCGCGATGGGAGGGATCGGAGGGAGGATTTGGATGTCCGATATGGCGCGAGCGCACCTAGCGTGTCCCCCCTCCACTCCCCGATTTCCCCCTCGCCCTCCTGGCTGATCAATTCCTTCCTCATCCTCCTCAACATCATCCCCATCATCATCACCATCATCTCCTCCTCCTCACCCTCTTCCTCCTCATCATCATCGTCATCAGCATTAGCAGCAGCAGCATCATCGTCGTCATCATCATCATCAGCAGCAGCATCATCAGCATCAGCATCGTCAGCATAATTGCCATAATCATCAGAATGCTCATCATCATGATCATCATCAACACCATCATGATAATCATCATGATCATCATCATGATCATCATCATCATCATCATTGTCATCATCATCGCCATCATCATTCCATCATCATCCTCAGCAGCAGCATCAGTATCATCATCATCATCATCATCAGCATCATCATCATCATCATCATCATCATCATCCTCGTCATCATGATCATCGTTATCGTCAACAACATCATGGTCATCGTCATCATCCTCAACATCATCGTAATCATCGTCGTGGTCATCGTCATCGTCATCGTCCTCATCATCGTCATCAGTCTCAGTATCATCATCATCATCATCAGCAGCAGCAGCATCAGCCTCAGCAGCATCAGCATCACCATCATCATTGTCATGATCATCAGCATCATCACCGCAATCGGCATCATCAGCATCAGCAGCATCATCATCAGCATCATCACGATAATCATCATCCACATCGTCATCCTAATACTCATTAACACCAGCATCCGCATCATCATCGTCAACAACACCACCATCATAAACATCAGTATCACAAGCAACAATATGATTATTGATGCAAACACCATCATCGTCATCAACACCAAAACCAGCATCATCAGCGGCATCATCATCACCATAATCATCAGAAGCAACATAATCGTTAAATCATAATCATGATCTGCCGCTTCCTCATCGTCATCGTGTTCGTCATCGCCATCAGCATCATCGCCGTCACCAACGACGTACTCATCATAAGCATGACCAGCTGTAGCATGATCACAAGCATCATCATCAGCGTCATCATCAGTAACAGCGTCATCATCATCATGGTCATCACCATGATCCTCAACATCACCATCGACAGCATGATCCCCATCATCCTCATAATCGTCAGCGTCAATAGCATCGTCATCATCATCCTAAACACAGCCAGTAATATCAAAATCATAAACATCATTAGCGTCATCAGCATCACCACGAGTATTGATAGTATCTTTGCCACTATGATCACAATAATCGTCACCACCAGGATTAGCATCCTCAGCGTCAGCACCATCATCATAACCGAAATCCTCATCAACATCATCCTCATCATCAGCATCGTCATCATTACCCTTACCCCCATCATCGTCACCATCGTTGTCATCAGCAGCATCATCATGCTTATCGGCATCGCTATAGGCATCCTAATAAATGTCACCATTAGAATCATCACCATCATCATCATATGTCCATCCATCCATCAGTCCATCCATCCCT